ATTTTTCAGGATTCTTTGATGAATAGAAAGTTCAAAAGAACAGCATTTATTTGAAATATTTGAAATTTCTAACATTCTAAATGTTTTTTACTGTCACTTTTGATTAATTTAATGTGTCCTTTGTGAATAAAATTAATTTCTTTAAAAAAAAAAAAACTTACTAACCCTGAATTTTATAAACAGTATGAAAGAATATTTATTTACAGTGTATATACTAAATAAAGTGCATACATGACCCATATTTCAGATGAACACTTTATCAATGTCACGTTATCATGATTTATCTCATCAAAATATGACCAAATTCTAATCAATATCAGAATATTCTTGTCAGAGCCACTCTGGGATTTACAAGTGTGTAAAACCTTAAAAGGTCAGAAACATAAGATTGTGATTGGCGAGCATACAGTTGTCTTCTGTTGGCCAATATACACCTGCTTATCTTTTTTTTGTGTTGACAGGGAGAAAAAGGGAATGGTTAAAAATCAAAGATGCCATAGAAGTGTTGCAGTGTCACAAACCAGTACAGGCCACTTACTTCGAGGCCCTGCAGGAAGGCTGTCTGAACAGTAACGGGACGCCCCTGGTGGCCACGATAGGCGGAGACCTGTCGCCCACCTACAGCATTAATCAGAGCTCCGTCTCTGATATCAGATAACTAATGCAAAACACAGACACTCTGGATGCCACTCTTGCTCTTACTTTCATAATTCTATTCTTCTTTTGATTCTTTTTCTTTAAAAACAGACACAAAACCAACGGTTTGCCAAGGCTTTTTAAGCACCGAGAAGGTGGCGCAGACATCAAGTGTTGGCTGAATATTCGAAATGATGTTTTGTAAATGTAACACTTTTGCTTTTTCCTGTTTAATCCTCCTTTCATGCGGACTGTTGCATGAAACCCGCAACCCACGTCCTTTTAGCAGCCCAAGTGTGAGATTAAACGAATGCAAGAACTACTTTTTACTGTTGTGATGTAAAAATGTACACATGGTGCGTCAGCATGTGGCTTTCAGTATTTTTACACATTAGATTTCCTCTGCGTGCGTAAGTGTGAACGAGTTTTTCATTAGTTCTCTTTCGGCGCTTGTGAGAAAACGTTTAGTCTTCTGAATGGTGGAACTGTAAGAAATTAATAGTTTTGCATGAACACTGGTATTTATTTGTCTTATGAGTTTGCATGATGCGATGAATGTTTAACCTGTACTTCGTGTTAAATTGTTGCTCTTAACTTGCCCTTTTTTTTTTTTGGTCTTGCCATCTTGTAAATAACTTATGGGCCTGCAAAAACTTACTTAATTTATACTATTACCTGATTCGACTAGAGCGCAGTTCTACAAGCGCACACTTTTTTTCCAACCCGCTGATGTTTGAAGGACTTTGAATTTAGTATTGCAGACATTACAATGAATTTTGTGCCACTAGCAGCACCAATTCATTGCAGATAAATTGTTCTGACATTATTTTTTGCAATTCCGTTTAGTGCCGCTAGTGATGTAGAAACGAAACAATTCCCCTTTAAGCAGACTGTGATATAGTGGTGGTATGGTTTGGCAGGTTGTTGTTGTGCTGGAATGGTTTTCTGTAGCACTTTTTTAAAATCAACATGAAAGCAAATGTACTTTTTAACGTATTTTCATTAGTGCACCATATTGTGCAACTGCAATCCCATTATGGTGTGAAACACTCACTTTTCATGATGCAATCACTTCCAGATGGATAGAAGTCCGTTTCGTTTCTTCCTCACAATACGTTATACATTTTAAAGAAGTAAAATGGGTTGCACATACCATGTTGAATTTAAGAAGTGCCATGGAAGATAAGAGTGAACAGTTAAGTCAAGAAGTAGCTTGGAAATCCTCTCTCTAAACTAGAAGATTCACTTCGATTTTCAAAGCAAACAAAAAACAATGAACTATTATAATGTTATCTGGCAGTTTCAAAAATGGATGCTTTTTACTTTCTTAATGTGTTTAATGTAATATTGGACATGATTGATTTAAGTTCATATTGTTTCAGGGGGAAAAAATGCCATTAATACTGAGCAGTTGATCTTGGATAAAATGAAACCACTTTTCTTTTTCACCCAAAAATGAAAATTCTGTCATTATTTACTCTTTAAGTTTTTTCAAACCTGTATGAGTTTATTTCTTCTGTTGAGCACAGAAGAACATATTTTGAAGAATGTTGGTAACCAAACAGTTGACGGTAGCCATTGACTTCAGTAGTATTTTTTTCCATTCTGTTTTTATGTATTTTGTGAGTAAATAATGACAATTTTCTTTTTTTATGGAACTATCCCTTTAAGGAAGTAAAATGGGTTTCATGTTCATTTTAGCTGTTAGATGATGTTTACATTTCATTAATACCGTAATGACTCTCAAACGACACATAAAGAGCTATTTCAATGGAGATGTTTATATAGTAATTTTTTTTTTTTTTTACGTACAACTCGCTCTATAGTCATTTCTGAGGGCACTTTTGATGGACCTGAAATTTTTTCATCTTCCCTTAGTAGATTTGGCCATTAATATTCTTCTGACATCAGTTGCGGAAGGTGTTTTCTGGCCTTCTGTTTTCTTGGACTTCAAGTCCAGCTGATGAGGTTTTTGGTTGTTTTAACCTCTCACCCTTTTTAGAAATGACCATATCTTCATCTAGAAAACATTTAAACGTCTCGTCTTCTTTTGAAATGTCAAGTGCGTCTTGGAAGCCGAACTGCACGCTCTGTAAAGCGCTTGGAAAGCAGCAGTTGGCGCAATACTGTGAATCTTGAGCCACTGTAGTTAGCGAGATGTTTTGGTGTCTTTTAATTACTCTTGTACAGATCAAATCGAGTGCTTGTTATGATGTATGGTACACGTTAGGTTGGGTGATTTATTTCCGCGAGACTGAACCGCATCGTTTTGCTCCTCTGGGAATTTAAAGTGCATTATAAAGTACATTTTTAATTCAAGATTTCTTTTCTAACTGCAAAGTGAGTAATGATGAACCCAAGATCTAAAAAGTGAATGAACATACTTTTATCAGTGATTCATGTTTACATGCTTTTGATTAATATCTATCAACACTAATGTCATCGAATTTGCAGCTGATTACAAGTCTTTCTCTTTCACTTTTAGTGTAGCATGTAATCCCTAATCTGGACTGTTTTCTTGATTGAAATATGTGATGGCCATCCTCATGTACCCCTCATTTTCAGTAGCACAGCATATAACTGTTTGACTCGTCTAGTAAGTGGAAGTGGCTGTGCGTCTGTAGCCGATCATAGCTGTGAATGGTCTTCTCTGAGCACAGTCGTTTCAATGTCCTACAAAACAAGGATGTGAAATCTAAACCGCTGCATTTGAAGTATATCACAGACCATGTGAAATACCCATATCCTTAAAGAACATCTCATGGAAAGCACCTTAAATTTGCCCTGCTTGTGACTCGGAATGTAAACTTTTGTAACGTAAATGAGAGTTCAGCCTGGTAAACGTGATGCAATTGGTTTAAATGGGATGCTGGAACTGTGACTGAGATCTCCCAACACTCTGAAACAAAAGCTGAGACTTCAGTTTCACAGCTACACCCTTCACTGGATTGTTTTGCTTTTTCATCTTGGGATTGTGAAATCAACCAGTATGAGAATGTAATATAAA